CACGTAGATAAAAATACATGGTGCAAAAAGTAAAATAGTGGATAAGAGACTGTAAGGTCTACCCAGATATGCCCATTTGCAGAGTAATGGTGCAATATGATAACCCCCACATAATAATCCAGCATTTGTGATCTGGTCTCTTGTTATACTGGGTTTATTCTTTATGAGAAGTATCATGGAAAAGGAAGGGGCAGAAGCTGAATGTAGAAGAAATGCCATCTATAAAGATTTAGAGGGGTTTCCAGTCTATGTGCAATGTTAAGCAACATCTTTTCTCTCCTTTGTTTTCCTTCTGGGCGTGGCCTTTGTGCTCAGCCAATTTGGCACATAACTGCTCATAAATGAGTGTCATATACTATAAGGAACTCTATTGGGAAGACACACAATCTCTTTGTGTTACATAAAGCAGAGCCTAGGAATGGACTGTAAGCTGGTATCAAGTGGTCCTTCATGGTGGAAGAGAGTCTTTTGATATTAGATTGATATCCTGCCTCTCACTCCAAAATGGTTCTCAGGAAATCCTTGGCCTGCCTTTTGACTGCCTAGAACATCTCTATCTAATTTGTACCAATTTGCTTTTCATTATCCAGCCCATGCTTGGTGTCACTTTAGGATTTATTGCTTCTTTGGACTTCAAAATGTGGATTCCAGGTTTACTTATTGAAGAAGAAAGGGTAGAACAAATATAACTATTTCTTAAGATTACTACCTATCTTTGTACCCTGCTCACAAGAATTACATAAAATGTAGACTTTGTCTTTGACATTAATCAGGCCCTTTTTTAAAAATTACATATGCAATTGTAATTTGAATCTGAAGTTCCAGGAACAAACATACAATTTCAAGTATTCAAAGTTCCTATAAGCAGAATTTTGCTCATAGGAAATTCCTGGTAAAGGGAAATACATTTTTTAAAATTCCTCCTGCTCCCTATCTTTCCTAAAAAATTGCAACTAGAGGCTTGGGTAAGGCTCCAAAACAGGGTAGAAGTTAGAGAGGGAAGTCAGAAAAGCATGAAAGGGTTTTGTGCAGGGGACACAAAATAATTTTCACTGGATCTCACCCATTTTGATCCTTGCTTTTGTGGATGAGTCGTTCTGGATTTTCAAAGGACATCTTGGCCCTGAACTTACAGTCAATCAATTTCATTGCTTCACCCAAAGTTGTAGGGATTTAGGGAGATGGAGAAGGGCATTTCCTTTTATACCTTTTCACACATTACACATTGTCATCCCCCACAAATATCTTTTTCTTTTAAATTAGAAAGTTCCAAAGGCTTTGGCCTCTTCTCCTTCAACCCGCAAAGCCCTTTTCTTTATCTCAGTGTTTCTCAACCTTGACAACTTTAAGATAGGTGGACTTAGTCTACCCATCTTAAAGTTGCCAAGGTTGAGAAACACTGCTCTATCCTAACACTATATGATTATGTTGTGGAAGGATGAACTACTCTGAAACAGAAAAATGTTATGTGCAACTATTCGGGTCAAAGTTTTTACTCTGTAATGGTCTGAAAGGCAGCTGCCCAGCTTAGACACAGAGGCACTTGCAGAGAAAGGGGGGGAAAGTTTAAAACACCTTAGAAGCATCTGCAAGCTGGCACATATGTTTCAAAAGAAAGAACTATGAAAGAAGCCAGAGCAGGTACACAGAAGGTGGTGGTGGGATCTTCTAGGTTTGGCAGGAGATGCTTCTGGAGTGAGAGGCAACTGGATGAGGTGTGGAGCAGAGGAGGCAACAGCTGGGAGAGCCAGGAGCCAGAGGATCCACAGTCAGGGAGAAGAACCCACAGAAAAGGACCCACAGAAAGAAAATGCAGACTTGAGACAGTGGCAGAGTGAACTCCATGTGGTTCAAGTGCTGGATCATTCCTAAACCGGTAGGTAAGTGTGGGAAAAGGAAGAAACTAGCAGCAAATCATTTTTGTATTACAAGCAGAGTAGGATAAATTTAAGGATTACGTTCTAAGTATTAAATTAAGTTAGGT